TGACCCTCCCCTTGGAGTTTTCCTGGATCCTCAGCGATCAAACCATATCATGTCAAACCATAAATATATTTCTAATTAGACACAAAAACATCTGAAGTCCACATGAATGTATGTTCAATAATGCCATTAATTCTTGTATAAAGCTCGACATTATTTTACGGAGCCTGGTAAATAAAACATACCTACGTTTTATTCACCACTCATAGCTCGTAACTGCTCTGCCTTCGCTTGGTAGGCCATGCCCATGACATTGACTGATAGTAAGTCGGCGGTTCGTGGTAACCATCCAAAGCTCGATCCCATGCAACCTTCCGTCGACTGTGTGACCGATCTACGTTTTCGGTGGTCGATACATGATGTTTATTGTTTTCCCACGTTTCGAACACACCGGAAGCCGGGACCACTCTCACCCTTTCCACTGGACGTGGTCGGCGAGTCCTCACGAGTCCATGACTCACTGACTCGGCTCCGGGGAGCGAGTTCACGGTCAGAGTCGAGAGGAGCGGATCAGGACCGACACAGGCCCGTCAGGCGACATTCTGTAACGGTGCGGCGCGGGACTGATACGCGGATTGGTGGACCGGCCGGGAAGCCGAACGGCTCCCAGACAGGATGGAAGATTTGTGATCGGTCATGAAGTTTCCTTGGGCCTTTGTATGGTGACAGAGCTGTAAATATATACCCCTATGATAATCACGAGTCACGACAAATTATCGATCAGGCGAGTGCGACGAGCGAGCGAGGATAATAGCTTTCCCGATTTTTAGAACGACACGATGGCCCACGCCCATGTGAAGGAGGCCCCCGATACCGTAAAATAGAATTATCGGACAGATTGCTCTCGGTGACCTCTAAAGGTAAAAGCCATAGGCAGGCTTCGCAGTCCATGCATTACAGTTATTTGACAGAATTTTGACAGAATTTGACAGTCCAGTGGTTAGCTAGGACCATGCGCTCCCGATGCGCGAAATGGACTGGATAATCAAGACCTGGGTCTCCTCCCTCGTCCCAAAATGTAGGGAATAATCGAAGCCTATATATAACATTTAAAACCCTTCAAATAAAAGAAAAAAGCCCTATCGCGGGTAATATGGTAGCGATATGGCAGCAATCAGACAGCCATTTATGAAATTTTCGCGGCAAATTGTGTCGGGAGCACTTTTGTGATAAGATTACTCATTTACTGGATTTGATGTATAACCGCTGTTTCGCTTTAAACAAGCACGGATACACGAAAAGCACTTGTCTTCTTGCATGGAAAGCTGTTGTATGCATTCAAATTCACCACTTTGAAATGCTCCTGAATCGTATCCATTTATGGAGACAGCACGTCAAAATACGTAGGAATGTGAAACAATTATCATTGATATGTGCTTAGGACGTAAACTTGACATATACCGATCTGGCATCAACAATTAATTCAGAGAACTCGAAGGCTGTATCAAGAGCAATGAGCAACCACCAATTGAGACCTATTTTTGAAAACAGCCGTAGGTAGTTCCGCGACCTTCCCTCATTCGAAAATCAGACGTTGGTAGGGTCAACAACGACATGAAATATAATCCATATTTCATCCTCTTTCGAACCTTACAACTCTCATTGCTCCACAATTAATGCAAACATGTGAATTTCAGCAACTTATGCTTCAATGTTACGAAGTAGAACACTTTAAACCCAGCTAAGTATCGCATGCTTCCAATAGTTACAATGCAAAATGATGGCATTTGTAGGAAAGAATAACATATAAAGGAAACATATTGCATTATGCTACCTGCATTGTCCTTTCTTCTCGAATTAAATCACTTTTAAGTACAACTTCGTCATTGCATTGGTCATCACCACAAGTCACGAGACAAAAATGGAGGGGATGTTACGGAAATGGCGCACTGCCGCTTGTACGGTTTATATTTCGAAACAGAATTGATGGGCATAATAAGCCATTTTGCACTAATTGATAAGATTCACCCGGCAGTGCAATAGAAAACTTATCTACCATATATTATAGATCAATCAGTGTTTGGGGCTACCAATGTCTCATTTTTCAGCTACCTCTTTACCACAGTGACACTTTGCATGGTGACACTGACACATAAAGTACTGAAATTCACACATTTGCATTAATTGTAGAGCAATGAGGGTAACACAGTTCGAAAGCAGACGAAACATACATTATAATTCAATTTTTAGTTGACCCTACCAATGTCCACGTTTTCGTAAAAGGCGCCTCATCAAACTTACCCCCGTCCAACTTCAGCACACAGTTGACATTTGGAGACCTGTGCCTTCTCTCCCTGTTGTTATTTCCCAATAAATTTATACTTGATGGATTTAGAAATTCATTTTCTTTCGAAAAATACTACATTTTATAAGTTTCAACGCCTAGGTATCGATATATTTGAGAATAACTGAAGGCATGGCGATTCTTTATATAATTACAAAATTCCTGGCGAAGACGAATTTAGATAAGGATAGTAAAAAATATGTATTTATGAAATCACATAGGATGATTGTAGACAAACTTTTATGAAAATCTATAATGTAGTTAGGGAGAAAGTATCTTGCAAGTTGTGCTAGCAACAGTTGTCAAGACCTGAACCCGTTGCCCGCATGCTGAAGGTATTTCTCGGCGTTACCTAGTGTTTTTATATACCTTGAGATTACTGTTTATCAAGCTATATATAACGGCTTATTATTTCAGTTTTAGCCGTTAAAACCTGTAACCAAGCCTGATAAAGTATCTTATATTGCCCAATATTGCCTGCAGCCAGCTTTTGCCGACAACTTGGGTATTATTTTCGTCAGTCAGTCGGGACTGGGACGGCATTTCAATTCAAATTTGGCGACTCGGCGCAAGGCCCTATATACCAAGCGACAAAGCCAAGATTCTTACAGAGAAATTAAACAAAGTAACCGAGCAACGGGTTGGCTCGTGATCGCGCAGTTTGGACTGCACGATTTTCGCTCTTGAGAGATCTATGGTTTGCGCCTTGCGGAGCCGAGTTTACGTCTTGTGCAAGCCTTAGAACCCCGCAACAGACAGGTGAGAAGCTTCATTCGTATCAAGGCGATTCAGATTGGCGAACGTGAACATCCCCCCCCCCCCCATCAGTACAAGTACAAGTAGCGGCGGAACACCTTCTGCCTGCCTGGGGGGCACTGCCGACTTTTGGTCCCATTCTTTCCATGCAACGCCCATAGGGCTAATGTTAAAATGCCAAAATCAAAGGGGGAGGGGGCACGGTGCCCCGGTGCCCTCCCCGTTATGTCCCCCCCCCCTACAGCGAGGCACGTAGTCTTCAATCGTAACACTCGGCTGTAGAAGCAATAAGTTGTCATGAAAGCTGTGCAGCTGTTTTGGTTTTAACCCGCGCCCCAGTGGCGGTCTCGGCCAACTTCGCCCTAGTGAGGGGGGGCATATGTTACCACCCACCTCTAACTCAAAAACTAAGAGGGCTAGAAAGACGCGGTAAAAAGCAGTCGATAGCTCTCAATACGTACGTTTGAAAGTATTTCGGTCATTTTTCACCTTAGAGCAATATTGGGGTCACCAGAGGTCATCAAAGGTCAAAATTTGCCAATTGTCATTATATTTTTCAGAAAACATGCCGCTCTCTCAGGAACTATGGTAGCTAGAAAAACGCATGGAAAAGCACTCGATAGCTTTTGAACTCTTCTTTTGAAAAGGTCATTATCAATATTGTCCTCAGGTCAACGGCTTAGCCTCCAGAGGGCAAAAACTCCAAAAATAGCTGTTTTTACGAAAAGTGTTTTTCGACAATAACTTTCGACTACAAAAAGCCACGACATTTCTATTGCCAGAATCGTGTTCCCCTCACCGAGACGCGTCGAATGAACTATAATTTGACCTTGAAAGGTCAACTTAAAAATTTGACCTCAGGTCAAGGTCATGACCTGACCGGAAAAGGTCATGTTGCATATCAGTCGATGCGTCTCAACAAGACAAACACAATGAGACCATCCCCAGCGTTCTATCTCTTTCCAATCGCGAGTTATTGGCAAAAAAACTGTTTGTAACCTCAAATGACCTCGGATGACCTTTCTAGAGGCTATCAGCAAAAATGACACCTTGGTCATCACGAGTGGACTAAATCATTGTGATTCTGAAATATTTGGACTGTTTTTATGCGTACACACGGATCTAGAGGCATTTTCATTTTTCTCCATTGACTTGTAATGGAAAGGTCATGCCACTGACCTGACCTTAGGTCACGGATATAAAAAATCCGAGATATACAAATTGTAGGCTCCCATAACAGCATGCAATCCACCAAGTTTAAAACCTTTCTGACAAACACTGCAGGCTGGACATGATTGCAAACTTTTTTTAAGGCTTGGTCAGTTAACTTGACCTGGTGACCTGACCTGACATGACCTGGGGTCAAAAATTTCACACATTGTCCAAAATTGATGTACCAAAAGCTACCCCAAGCGGCGCGGCGCTACGCGCCGCGGTTTTTTATTCACACGCGAAAAACGCGACAGGGTGGTAACATATGCCCCCCCCCCCCCCACTGGGGCGAAGGTTAAAAGAAATGAAATGGAAGCTGTGAAAGGAAGTTCGGAAGTTGTGAAAGAAGTTAAGTTGAGTTGTGTTCAAACGAAATATCCCACGCTGCAGTCTTGGCCTATTGTGTCGTTATTCGCCCCCCCCCCCCCCCCCCCCTCTTCCCGCCCCTCCTGCTGATCGGGAGCCCATCAACTTTGACCGCCGTGCGCGTGCCACTGGCTCCACACTCAACTTTCTTATCGCACTTGGCCTTGGTATCTTCCTACTATCAGTATCGACCCGCCCACCGTCCCCTCTAAGCGCACCTGAGCTGTGCCGCACCACACGCCCCCGTCCCCCTCCCAACGTCCATGTCCCTGTCCAACGGCCACCCGCCCCTATTACTCCCTCCCCCGCGCCCTCATCACCCCATAACAGCATGCAATTTTATTCACTGAAGGCTGGACATGATTGCAATTTGCCCGGCGCCCAGCTGCCCCCACCGGCGCCCGTCTGTTGACAGAGCCGCGGTGCCGGAGCGTGGCGCCGCCACTGCCGCCCGGCCGCGGGAGAGAGTCGAGAGGCGCCCGCAGCGCCGCCGCTCGCCGTCCGCCACCGCCGCCAACCGAGCGCCAACCGCCAGTGCGCTCCGAACCGCGGTGTGGGGAGGTCACGCGCGATGACAGAGCGAGGAGTGCGCGCGAGCGACCAGCGGCGCGGCGGCTCTGCAGTACGTGCTGACAGTGTGGGTGCCGGCGGTGACTGTGGTATGTCGGAAGGAGACGCCATGTTGCCGGAGCAGCGGCCGCAGGAGGAGGGCGAGGCGGCCGAGCCGGCAATGGCGGAGGCGTCGGCGTCGGGCGCCCGCTCGCCCGGCGCCTCCTGCCTGGCACTGCGCCAGGCCGTGGCTCAGCTGAGTCGGCTGGACGACTTTAGCCTGGAAACGATCGGCAGGGGCTTCTTCTCGGAGGTGTACCGGGTGAGTGCGGCCAGGGGACGAGTGCATGGTAAATGATGACACGACGTGGACCAATGAACGTTCTAGAAAGGAAATGAATTCCTAAAAAGTGGTGGAAACTCAACAATTATGCTGTTTTCTTCTCATGAGACGATCTTTTTTCAAGTCTCACTTCATTTTGAGAGCACGGTTGATTTCTTGGTCCGATTGAATCCGTTCATATTTCATTATCCGTGCTATGCCAATTCCTCAGACTGAGTGTCAAATATAAGGCCTTTTGGAAGGGCAAGGTGTCCCACTTCCTCTCCCGACACGCGTATTTACAAATTGCAACCGAGCTCCGCCGTAGGGTATTTTATTTCCGCCGTAGTGTATTTCACTTGGGGGATTTTCTACCATACATCTGCCTGAGCTTAGGGTAATTACAATTTGTCGGCGACGTTCGAAAATGATGCACCTTTTTTCGCAGTATAGGATATCGCATGCGCATATTTCTGCCTTTTTGGGTGCGCTTTATCGGTTTTTTCGTGAGTAACTCGCGTGAAAACCGTCCGATCGCGACGAAACTTTCAACACCCCCGATTTTATCAATTTTACACTTACCCTGAAAATTTCATGACCCTGACCCAAATGACCTTTGACCTGTGACCTATTTCTCGAGACCATGTTTGGCCCGAATCGCGATTCGGCGTATGTCGGCTCGCATTAGCCGCGCGGTTGCAGTTTTCACGTGGTTTCAAGCGTTGAAACATGTGATATGATGCTGGTCCCATGCATTAGGGTGGGTGTCAAGGTCACCTGAAGGTCAGGTCAGCTCAACGACCTTTGATGACCTCGGTTCACTTTTTCGAGTTTTACATGTTTCTAGGCTAGTTTTTGGAGCTGATTTCGAATTTAGCAACCATTTGAACATCACAGCGGGTGTAACGAAATTATCCAGACACCTTTCTTCCCGCTGTAAAAGCAAAACAATCTGGTACTTTTTCTTTTAACTGAGCTTGTAGCCACCTTTCATAAAAACACAGTTTACTCACCTCGTTGGTTTCTGCATATCTTTGGAGTGGTTTCAAAGGACAGTCAGAGAGGAAATGAGGAACCCACACAGTGGCGAATGTTCTGGAGCATTTCAGCCAATGGATTCTCCAGCACACTGGCTTTGATGCGGACCAACGCCATCTAAACCTGTGCCTGCGGTTCAGCAGTGCTTATGGCGGGTGGCTCTTCATACACCTCCTGCTGAACAAGAGCCCACAGGTTTTCGATTGAATTGGGATCGCGTCCGCGACTTTTTCCAAGTCATAAGCGTTAGCCCAGAATGATTGAAGGTTCTATCGGCATCACCTCCCGTTCTTTTAGGGACTTTTAAGTAGCGCGCCGCCACGCATGAAGACAGCGTGGCTTGAATCAGGCATCAGTGCGCGTCAAGAAACCGTGCCCTCCTATGCCGTCTGGTTGAGCGCCTCCAGTCATGCTCCACCACCTTCCCTGGAAAAGCTCCACCCTTGCCTATGGGGCAAAATATAAGGGACAAAAACACAAAACAAGACAGATAAAAACAAAGCAAAATTAACTCATTACCTAATGAACTTCAGGCTGGAGCAAAAACATAGGTAATAGGTTATGACGATTTAGAATGAAAGATTAAAATCAACCTGACCAGGCCTTACGGTCCGACCGGGTCCTAACCACCTTACTTCGCCTAACTTGACCCAGTTCAACCGTGGTTCAACCTAGCCTACCACAACACCTGCAGAGTGCAGAGGTACCTTCCTGGAAAAATGACGCCCAGGGAGATGACTGTCAAACTTATTGAAATGCTACCATGATTGCTTGTCAAAATGTGTGTCATCATGCTCTTGTTTGACAAGTGATGTATAATAAATGTGATATTCAATAATTACTCCTGACTGTTGACTGTTGACTTGTTGAGTTATCAAAATATTCAAATAATCAGGGTACAATCCTGTGCATAGTGCACACTAATCATGTTGTTTTGTGTAGGCCCTCTGCACATTGTTGTGTGTACTGCTATGTGCACCTAAGTAAAAAAGTGACTGGTGGTACATGACAAAAGGTTGAGCAACTGTGAACTGTGCATTGAAGACATTGGCACAAAGTTCATCCGTAATTACTATGCTTAACACCTAATGCAAGAAGCGACATAAATGCCCAGATGATAAAGCTCTCTGGTCAACATCACACAAATTTATTGACATACTTTGCAGGTACATATTTACATTCATGGCAAATACTTTCGATTTGATTCAGAAACTAGTTGCTAGTAAGCTTGCATTTTTGTAGGCACAACAACGACCATATATTAAATCATAAAAAACCTTCTCATGGCATTCATCAATACCTTTCTACCAAACAAGTACCTTATACCTAGCTTCCATGCAATGATTCTAAAATTTGTCCGCAATCCATCTATATATCAACTGACACAATGAATTTCAAATACCCTAACAAAACCTATAACTGTACATAAGAAGAATGCAATACTACAAGAATTGTGAATTTCTGAAGTTATTCTCACATGCTGAATGTTGAAACTCTACTTTTGTCGTCCATTTCCATGTTTGATTGAGCCATCATATAGAACTGTTTCCGTTCTACAGTCACAAGCTTTCCCACAAATCTTGAATTTTTACACATCATCTTGAACCATGCTCCAGTCTTTCCAACAAAGCAATTTTGATTTGTTGCAACAGCTTCAGATCATGATATGCTTGAGGTTTGTTACACCATTTGTCAGACAAATCTCTACAAAATGTGTATCAATTCCCAAACTAAGTAATTGATCATATCAGTATTTGCAGTTTCCACACAATGTTTCATAATACTATTCTATGTTTATATAAAGAAACTCAAATAATCCACAAATTGTTATTGAAACACTCCAACTTCAAGAATTCACAGCAATAACAGTACAAGTTCAGAAGCAAACAAACATTGCGCCACATTTCGTATGAAACGCGCCATCGGCCTGAAGTTTCTACCACAGACGGTAGTTCGACCGCAGCCGTACTGCGAAAACCCCTGCCCACCTTACCCCACGGCGGAGCTCGGTTGCAATTTGTAAATACGCTCCCGACACATGTTTCGAAGTCAAGGTCATCTCGCTGTGATCTGTGAAGCTAGCCTCTGTAGCAAAAGGCTTTTCGAATTGCATTCGAAAGGCAGGCGACCAAGTCGATTATCATGGTTCCAGCAAGTGACCCTGTAATGTTCAGCCCATTCCACTCATTCTATGATAAGTTCCAGCGTATTACGGCATGAAGGAATGTTATTCAGGTACCTATTGTGGAAGCTCAAGTTACGGGTCCGAAAATATTCGCCAGAAAGAAGGAGCCGTTTCGCAGATCGCACTGTTTCCTTTGCCGTTTGCAATGGTGATAGCATCATTGTGATTGTGCTTATCGCGATGCTGGCTGGCAATGTCGGACAATTAATAAGGCAATTATTTCAGTGTCGGTTGGGTGCGTTGTGGGCTGGCCTTAGCGTCTGCGTCCTTCTCGCCCGGGTAGCCATGGTAACCTAACCGGCACGGGGGCGCCCCATTACGGGCCAGCTGCTGCCGGCGTCTGCCGCGGCTGATGGGTGTGCACTGACCGAACTTCCGCACCTGGGAGCAGCTGATCACAACAGCCGGGTGTTCATAATTGAATGCTGTGCAGTATTCAGCTGCCATCCTAGAGCAATAACTCCTCATTTTTTTAAACAAAAGGTGCGTAGAGCTGGGTTCTCGACTACCCACTACTCGTCATCGAGGACTCGAGGACGAGGACGGAAGTGCTGGCCAGTGAGCCTCCCTGCGCCGAGCCCCACACCGGCGCGTCCACCGGTACCCCGCGGTACACCGCGCGGTGTGATTGATTGTTGTTTACCCCACTCCGGCAAGAGCGGTGCGTAGTTCATCGATCTTATCATCCGGAAAGACCAGCGGTTGTGAAAAAAAAATCACTCCAGCAGGACGCGAAACTGCAACTGAATTAGTGACTGATGATTCTTTATAGCCGTATCAGCAGATGTGCACGATATTTCCTCATCAGTTTTCGTGGTGATATTAGAAAAGTGATGCTTCGTTTTTATCACATGGTTGTACTATGATGTTTGGAACCCGGAACGGCTGGGTCACCATGTGGTCGTAAAACTTGGGGTGCATTCCTCCCTGCCTTTTTCCTGATTGTATTCATTTAATTTCTACCGGTGTGGGAAAATTGGAGAAAGTTTCTGATTCGTTCTTCCGTGAAACTTCAGGAATGAGTTCTTCAAATTGAGCTCCATCTGTTATCGTTGCAGGGTGCTGTAACTTGCCTACTACATTGATCGGCACTCGACTGTCAAAAGTTCATAATTATTGTGCTGCCGGTCTGTTTTTTTTTCTCATTGGCCGGAACGGACTTGTTATCCAGAAGCCAGAAGGCAAAAATGGCAATTACCTGTCTTGTTGTTTCTTTACTCATTCCAGTCTAGGATTGACAACATGGGAAGTCATGTGCAGAACTTGTTTTAAGCACAAATGCGACCACGCTCACATGGACTCTGATGTTGCAACAGGCCGAGGCTCTGAGGTCTGTAAGCCGTATACATCTGCCAGTTTTGGTAGTCGCCGCGGCGCCTCTGGACCGGTTCCTGTGTCAGCAGTATCGCAGCCTTGGCCCCCGGCCTATGGCGCAGCGAGCGCCACTCGGCCGGCGGCCGCCACTCGGGCAGAGAGTGCAGCGCGGCCCTGGCGCGCGGCTCAAGTGTTTGCGGCTGAGAGGGAGACCGGGTCTCCTGGTCCGCGCCGCACCGTCTGCCTTCTCAGCCCGCCGACAATGAGGTCGAACGCCCATGTGCGTTGGCTACGCGCTCTGCGCGCCGCTTTCGCCGCTCGTCCGCCGTCTGCGCCGTGGAACGTTCTCGACGGGCGCTGCCCGGCTCTCGGTCTGCCGGCCCGCCCTCCTCGGACTGTGCCCCTGGACGGCCTTGGTCCGGTGCCATGGCAAACTCGTGACTGGTGTGCCAGGAGGGTGTCCGCCCCCGCCCGGCAGACACGGAGGCGGAAGATTGTAGCCGTGAGGCTGGGCTGAACGCTGCACGACCGACGTCCTGTGTGCAAGATGCACACGCGTTGACTGCGTCAGTTCGCGCCCGGCTGACGTCATCGTCCCACCGCCGAAACACCCACTCACTGTTGATGACATGGCGTGCGGTAAGATGCATGACCATTGCTTACTGAGAGCGCAACGCTAGCGTGCAACAGCGGCTCCACAACCCTAGTCGGCTATCGTGCCAAACTGCGATATGCGACTGCGCCGTCTCTGGGTTCCCATGCAGCGTAACTGCGCTCCCACTGAGCGAAATCGTCGGCGGCGCATGTAACCGTGGTGGGTGCGGGCGGCCAGTGCGCCGCTGCCGGAGCGCTGTGCCGCGTCGTGCCGCTTCACTGCGGCTCCGGCAGGGCCCGGATCTCTCCCCGTCTCCCCACCGCCAGAGAAGCCGGAGAAAGGCGGCGCCGTTTGGGAGAGATGGACGATATGACGGCCGTGCTGGGTGGAGGTCGACGGCGCCTCGCCTCAGTGAGCGCGGGCCACATACGGTCACCTGTGGGCTCTGGGCGAGGTAGCCGGTGCCAGGAGGGGCCCGCCGCTGCAGAGTGGGCTCACAGGATGATGGATGATGGACGATGGGGGTGGGCGGTGGGCGGTGGGCGATAGACGGTGAGCAGTGGGCGGTGCGCGGTGGGTGATAGACGATGCTTGTGCGCGATGGCCAGCGGTGTGCAGTTACCTGTGCAGGTGGTGGAGGGTAGAAGACGACTGTAGACATTAGATCGCGCACGGTGAGAATGGAAACTCTCTGGGAGATGTCGGACGCTGATGTGCGAATGGGCTTCCATGGTGGCCTGATGACCGAAGCCCGGTGCATTTTTTTGCAATGCTGCTCGGATGCTGATGAATTTGCACTTCGTCATGCAGTTCCCAGGTGCTTGCCCGTAAATATTCAGCTGGTCACCGAACCTTCGGGAGTCTTGAGCAACACCGGTTAATCATGTCGCACCTTCACTGCCCGGATAGTCAGCATTTGTGTGGTCGGCGATCCGAGTCGATATTTTCACTTCCCACGGATTTCCAGCCGGGTGCTGGCTGTAATTCATTTGAAAAAGCCATCCGCTGATGTCAATCTAACGTGCTGTGCAATCATTACTCTGCCGAAGCGTCGTCAGTCCTCTGATTTCACAACGATATAAAGACTACAGCGCTTGTGCGGCTGTCTGGTGGTGCGCTCGGCCGGGGATTTATTTACTGACGAGTGATATTTAGTGTTCCCTGGGAACATTCCGTCACCTAGAACTGGCCTGGTGCACACGGCAGGACAGGTGGGAGCCTGCCGCCGTGAAGCGGACGACACGGTGCTCAGTGCTCCGTGAATGTCTGCTGGCGGTGACATTGAGGTTCCATGTTCCGCGGGCCATCCCGCGGCCCGTGACCGAATACGACTGCTGGGAATCGAGAGCTCAGGTGACGGACGTGGTTTCTGGAATCCGCCCACAGGCTGAAAACGAACCGTGAACCTAAAGAAAACTAACCGGCCGGTTTGGACATCTAAACTAAAATGCGTCTTTATGCATAATAAGTGAAACAGATCATTGTCTTGTCATGGAACTCATCATGAGTAACCTAATAAGTGTTCAATTATCGCTTGAAGTCCCCATGCGGGTCATTCGATCCACGTTGACATCATCCTGAGCGTCTGCCGACCGGCCAGTGGTACGTCTCCCGACACGGTATCGAACCTCGCTTCCTCCCCGCCCGTCGTCGGCGCCCCGCCGCGTCGGAATCAGAGCGCGTTCGGCGCCGGTGCGTCATGGTTGTCGCAGACCGCCATCTGTGGCACGCGCTCGTGACTGGTGCGCGCCGGCCGGCCGGCTAGGCCGCGGCGCATCTGGCGTTTGTACCCATTCCGTCGGCCGGTCGACGCCAAACAGCCGGCGCGTCGGTGCGGCGCCGGTCGCCGGCGGTCGGTCGGCGGAGCTGGGGTGGCTGTCGGCGGAGGCGGGGTGGCCGGTTCCGCCGATAGGGTCACTGCAGTGTGGTCAGCTCTCCACCATTGACGCTGGTTGCGGTCTGCGGGACCTCGCTGGCGGCGAGGTCGTGGTTTTGCCCGGGCTGCCGAACGGAGTACGGGGAAGGAGGTCGAACGGCGACCGCCGCCGTTATGAACGGGAAGCGCCGCTGGCGCGCGCCCAGTGGGTCAGTTTAGGCAGGTCACGCTGGGTCACACCGGAGGTGTAACCGCCGGGCCAGCCGCTGCGGTGGCACTCCGACTTGCGCCCAAACCGCTGACCGGTGCCGAGCGTACTCGGTCCGCTGTGGCCTGGTCTTTTGAATCCCAAACATCCTGTTGGTGTGGTCGGAAACATCAACTCGTAAAGACTTCTGATTTCCCTTACGCCAGCAGTCAAACTTCCCCATGAGCTCATCCAGGTCAGCGGAATCACTTCCCTGTCGCAGTGACCAGAGCGGCGGAAATGCGCGACAGACGCCTCGTCAGCGTAACTGCGCTCCGGTCATGTATCAGTCTGTGATAAGAGGCCATCAGCGGTCATAAAACATCACCGACTGGCGCCCGCCGCCATGACACGTCAGGTGTCTCCACTTGCGCTGGTTGTTGCGGAGCGGTCCATTTATCTGCGTCAGATGCCGTATGTGCCCTGCAGTCTTCCTTACTTCCCGTCGGCCTGATGACGTTCGATCTCAGGTCTGTGACGTCACGTGAGGTCGGTCTTGGAAGCCCCGCTGCTGAGCCTGTCACGGAGCCAGTGATTAGCGTGTCTGCCGCCGGTGGCCGCCTGAATGAGTTCTTCATTTATAATGGGCGATGAGGAGCGCGCTGAGCTGCTCCGTTTGTCAGCAGGTTTTGTGCCGCGTCATGGTGCCCCAATTGAGATAGCTGAGGTCGAAAGAAGATCGCTATCGTTACCGTTATTTCTCAAAATGGAGGAAAATCTACTTCAGTTTTGTGAATGGTGTCAGATTTGTGTCTTGTTTAGACTTTCAAATGCTTTACTCTTTACTAGATACTGTCAGTGCTCAGTGTTTTCCCGCGCCATAATAACAATACCATCAACCATTCACAGTGCACCCTCTTGCAGATGATTTGGTCAAGTCGCCATAACACGCCCTTCCTTTCAGGTGGTGCACCGGACGACGGGCCAGGTGATGGTGCTGAAGATGAACCTGCGGCCGTCCAACCGGTCCAACATGCTGAAGGAGGTGCAGCTGATGAACAAACTCAGCCACCCCAACATCCTCCGGTGAGTCCGTGGTCGACGTCATTAACTATAATAAACTAGATGGCATATTTTGCGCTATAACTGTGCGTTTTGATAGATGCATTTGATGGGGCATTAGTTTGGGTGTGGGAACTTATGATTTTTATTTGTCTTATTTTGTCGGAGTTGGATATTTGTTTGAACGGCATATTGCTGGTGCTGGTTGCGGGTTGTTAGAGCCTTTCTCATGGTTTGCCTTTATCGAACTCAAACCCATCCTACCCTACCCTAACCTACCCATACCCTACCTTTACACATAGTTACCCTTCTCATACTCGATTAAAGTAGCGTACCAAATTTGAGTGCAATCGGCCCAGCCGTTCTTGAGATATAAAACTGGCCCACAGCACGTGCGCACGCGCTAGCTGAGCCTCCAGATGACTTGTGCCAGCCACCTTTCTAAATTGTCCCAAACAGTGTACAAAATTTGAGCGAAATCGGACCAGCCGTTCTTGAGATGTATAAATGGACCCCTCACGTGCGCACGTGCAATCGATCCACCCTACCTGTCACAAATGACCATGCATCGCCAGGTTAATGCCCCCTCCACCCACAGTCCAAGTTTCAGCGCAATCGGCCCAGTAGCAGCTGAGTTATTCCTAGTACAAAAATGTGCTGTTTACTGGTAGGCGCTTATTTTCAGTGTTTGGAATTCCCCTTTACGGGTGGTGCATTGCAGCCCATGCTTTGATAGCTATTGTGAAAAGTTGTATGGCCTGCCGGCCATAAGCCATCGACCGGATTTTGTCGAAAAATACCTGTAACGTTAACAAAACACGGTCGTATGTTTGAGTCATTTTCACAAAAGTTTATTGACTTTTCCATAATATTTTGGGTGGATATTGGTCAGAAAAGAATGCTCTTTCCGAATATGTAGGTTTCATAGCGATTGATCAACGTTTTCAATGTGTTTTGATGTTGTAAAGGACGTCGCGCTCCGTGCGAATCAAATTTTCAAATTAATTTTTCATTATTAAGGAAATGGTACGGATCATCAGTTTTTGGTTGCTATTATCTTATTACACATACATTTGTCTGCAAAATGATACAACACCGATTTCATTCCGTCAAGCCGTTTTCCAGCGGCATCGATTTTCCCGTCACAATGCACGAAATCGGTCATTTTTCACAACCGGGGGTGCTGTCTTGCACGTGGCGCGTGCTATACTATGAAACCATATCAATACGCTAGGCCCATCTCTCCTCTATCCAGTGGTGGCAACCCCACCTCGCTACGGCAATCTGTCGCCGAGTTTTGGGCCCGGGAAGTGGGCGCCGCAGGCCGGTTTTCGCCCGATCTTCGATTTGACCGTTTCCCGTGTTAACCCTATGGCGCACGCGAGCGCGTGCTGGCGGCGCACCCCTGGTCCGATCACGCCCAAATTTTAATACAAAGGCCGCCCACGCCCACAGATTTGGCATGCCAAATTTCACGTCGCTACGCGGCGCCTTTCAGGCGCAATAAGACACATAAGTCATGACGGATCACGCACGCACAGACAACTTATAATTCATAATATAGACTAGATGGCATGTTTTGCGCTATAACTGTGCGTTTTGATAGATATGTTTAACGGGGGCCATTAGTTTGGGTGTGGGAACTTATGATTTTTATTTGTCTTATTTTGTCGGAGTTGGATATTTGTTTGAACGGCATGGTATGCTGGTGCTGGTTGCGGGTTGTTAGAGTCTTTCTCATGGCTTGCCTTTATTGAACTCAAACCCACCCTACCCTAACCTAACCTACCCATACCCTACCTTACTAATAACCTACACATAGTCACCCTTCTCATACTCGATTAAAGTAACGTACCAAATTTGAGCGCAATCGGCCCAGCCGTTCTTGAGCTATAAAAGCGGCCAACTGCACGTGCGCACGCGCGAACTGAGACTCCAGATGACTTGTGCCAGCCACCCTTCTAAATTGTCCCCAACAGTGTACAAAATTTGAGCGAAATCGGCTCAGCCGTTCTTGAGATGTATAAGTGGACCCCTCACGTGCGCACGTGCAATCGATCCACCCTATCTGTGACAAACGACCATGCATCGCCAGGTGAGTGCCCCCTCCACCCACAGTCCAAGTTTCAGCGCAATCGGCCCAGTAGTAGCTGAGTTATTCCTAGTACAATAATGTGCCGTTTACTGGTAGGCACTTATTTTCAGTGTTTGGAATTCCCCTTTGCGGGTGGTGCATTGCAGCCCATGCTTTGAGAGCTATTGTCAAAAGTTGAATGGCCTGCCGGCCATAAGCCATCGATCTGATTTCGTCGAAAAATACCTGTAACGTTAACAAAGCACGGTCGTATGTTTGAGTCATTTTCACAAAGTTTATTGACTTTTTGATAATAGTTTGGGTGGATATTGGTCAGAAAAGAATGCTCTTTCCGAATATGTAGGTTTCATAACGATTGATAATCGTTTTCAATACGTTTTGGTGTTGTAAATAACATCGCGCTCCGCGCCAATCAAATTTTCAAATTAATTTTTCATTATTAAGGAAATGGTACGGAGCATCAGTTTTTGGTTGCTATTATCTTATTACACATACATTTGTCTGCAAAATGATACAACACCGATTTAATTCCGTCAAGCCGTTTTCCAGCGGCATCGGTTTTCTTCCCACAATGCACGAAATCGGTCATTTTTTGACAACCGGGGGTGCTGTCTTGCACGTGGCGCGTGCTGTACTATGAAACCATATCAATACGCTAGTTCCATCTCTCCTCTACCCATCAGTGGCAACCCCACCTCGCTACGGCAATCCGTCGCCGAGTTTCAGGCCCGGAAAGCGAGCGCCGCAGGCCGGTTTTCGCCCGATCGTCGATTTGACCGTTTCCCGTGTTAACCCTATGGCGCACGCGAGCGCGTGCTGACGGCGTACTCCTGGGCCAATCCGTCCCAAGTTTTAATACAGAGGTCACATCAACCCACCGATTCGGCATGCCAAATTTCACGCCGATACGCGGCGCCTTTCAGGCGCATTAAGACACATAAGGCATGACAGTCGCAGGCACGCACGGACATCTTATAATTCATAATATAGACTGTGTGTGCGCCCGTTGCTCTGTGGCGCGACCGATGTTATATTTCGAAGGATGAGCTCTTTATTCTAGTATTTCTCTTTGCGATCTCTACAGACATGACGGCATGCATTACCGATCCTAGATGGCAGATGCATTTATCATTCACTGTTTAATCGATTTTTGTAATGGCTAGTGTTGAACGGTAACATTCGCTGGGCAGGCAGGGCCTAGCGTTAGGTTGCACGAAATGCGTTATTGGCTGAAATAGAACTACTACACGCCTTTAGATGCACATGAAAGCGATCACTACCTCAATCGGATTCCGATTCCAACGGTTCCAGAAGTCCTGAACGTTGAAACGCCTTCCTCCTTCTGAGTTCACTGGCCGACTCGCCGTAAAATGCGGACCTGGCGTGCATCCTTCGGGGCTTCTCCCGTTACCGCGGCACTACCACCGCACGTGCCGTGCTGCTCCCGTGACTGTGACGGTGCACGGGCCACGGAGGGCGCTGACCGTCCGAGCTGGATCGAGATCCGTCGGCTGATGGGATCTGAGAGATAGCTGGGTGGTACAGAGACGACCTCTGGGCCTCTGCGCGAGCAGCCGGGTGTGCAGGTTACTTCCGCAACGGGAGCGGGACTTCCGCAGTGGGCCGGCGCGGCGCAGCGTCTTATCTCCTCACTTGGGGCCGGCTGGGCTACTCCCCCGCAGTTCCGTCTTATTCTGCTCTCCAGGGGCTGTTTGCAAATATTCTTACCATGAGCATGTTTCCCTCCTTCCCTGCTTTATTTTGGCTGTCACTGATCGAAACGAGATTGAGGGGCTTCATTATTCTTTGGCAGACATTTTCTATCGGTCCAATTCCAGAGCGATTCTTAGCTATCAATTTAAGACAAGGCTGAATAAAATTGGTTCCATCAACCTCCTAGGGTCTGCCATAAACTGTCTTGATTCGGGAATGACTGTAGCATATTTGTCTCGTAAACCAAACTCAGTTTTGGGTCTCTTCATTGCAATGAACTAAGAACTGGCCAATATTCAATCATTTAACCGCCTCCCCCTTTTCACACATCCCTTCTTTCGCCAAGCACAGTTCATTCCCACTGTCGGACGAGTGTGCAAGTGACTAGGAACCGTCTTATCTTGCTGTGCCGTTTCCTGTCACCTCCCGTCCCAGTCCAGTCCCCCCTCGCCCGACAGTCGGAGCCCAGACGACGCCGTCTCGTGTCGATGGTCGGCTTCGTCTCGTGCCGACGCCCATTTCGCGCGGCTCGGCGGCGCTTAGCGCAGTCGGCGTGAAGTGCGGCGAACGGGCCGCGTAACGGACAGACGCGGCGCGCCGCTGACCTCCGGCGGCGACCCCGGCGCACTGCGGCGAGACTGGCGCACTGCGGCGAGACTGGCGCACTGCGGCGAGACTGGCGCAGGAACGTAACGGGGCTGCGCGCTCGGCGGCCGGCGCGTGCCAAAAAGTCGGCGCGCTGAGTGATTGGCGAGTAAACATTGACATTGAGCCGCCAGCGAGGCGCTGTCGCTCAAATGTGTCGGAAACAGTGGGGAATGAACTTTGGGACTGTGAACTTTTGACTGTTTGTTAAAGTTCATGTCAGGTTTATGTCACAGCTGTCCTAGGAAAATTGTGACATGTCATTTACGTTTGCCAGTATTTAAGCTGTCTATGTTATGAATGGATGTCCCCTGTGGGTAAGCATCGACTTTTATCTAGCAATATTTGCTGAAGAAAGTAAATGACTGACGAAGACGAAACGGTAAATCAAGTGACTTGAGATATCATCCAGTGATGCATAATTTCGTCATAGTTTGATCTGATAAAAAAACATCCCGGTTGGCTTCTTCACGACGAACTAATCTGATAAGTGATTCAAATTGGTAGGGTAGACCGGGGCAAGTCGCCCCGCCGAGGTAAAACGCCTCACCGATGTTTCTCGGAACTGGCA